GGCTAAATCCAGTCCGTTGAAAGGCCCTGGAAGCAGAAGTGAGATCTCCCCAAGGACGGAGAATTTCTGCCTGCAGACTGTGGGGTAGTCCCTACCCGGAGTTGCCAGCCTGCCCTCCTGATGGCCTGTCCCTGGCTTTCTGACTTGCCAGGCCCACAGTCACAGGAGCCAATTCCTAGAAATAAATCTCTTGATGTACGTGTGTATGTGTGTGAATCTTACTGGCTCTGCCTGGTAGAACCCTGGCTGATACATCCCTACACCTTTCATTCTACTTAACATTTGTGTCATAGCAGCTGGGTGTTAACTAGCTTGGATTTTCTCTTTACTTCATGGATGACAGTCTTGTGGCTCCTCCCAGCCTGGGCATTTTCTCCCACCACATCAGGGGGAAAGTATGTGCCCCAGCTATCCATGTGTTCCTCGGCTGGGGAAAGGCTCAGGTTTTAACTAAGGAAGCAGAGCAAGAAGTTTTTCAATAACGGGGATTCCTTCCACGGCCTTGGATCTCTTTGCCCAACGATTTTCAGGCTGTGAAACCAGGTTTCGAACTAACAGTGATCTGATTGTTCATTCCTTTGTATGATTTTTAAAGAATCGTTTCTTTGTACGTGTGACTTGAGAATTTTACCGTAAAATGGAGTAAGTACTGATTGTTAAACTGATCAATGTTAACGGCACCTTGGAAACACTGGACTGGGGTAGGGTTCCTGTCTCCACACAGCTGGGCTGCCCATCGCCTATTCCAAGGAATTTCTTGTCAGTTCTCCGTTTCAACATAAGCACCTGTTTCTGCCTATCCTGCTGCTGCATTTATTTACTGTGATTGTTATGATAATATTAGGTCGAAGATGTCACAAGGCTTTGGGTAGAATTGAGCTCAGGGGCAGAATCAAGGAACCTGAGCTTCAAAACATCCTGAATGGGAAAGTTTTAGTTCAGTACCAGGGGCAGCAGGGAGAAACTCAAATGTTTTGCCCTGGGGACATGCAATCCTAGTTGATCCTCTCAATCAGTGCCTTGTGGTCATTTTCTTTCTCTAGACTTAGCTTCTTGGTAAAAACGGAAGCTTTGAGAAATCTATTTCAGAAATTCACATGCGCAGTAAGAGCGAGGAAGGGAAGGCATCAACATATTTCCCCGTTTTCTAACTTGTTCTACTGGTGAATAGTGACTGATGGAAGGCGAACAGCCCTCCGCTAGATGCAATCAGGCAGAGCTGAGAACATGCCAGTTGGAGAGAGTGGGGGCACATCATGGGGAGACCCTCTCTCAGGCATTGGTCAGGGGCTGTTAGCGCAGATGATACAAAGGAAAAAGGGGCTACTATGGGCTGGCTCACCTTTTGTCTATTTTGCAGTCGTAGAAATGATTTTTTAAAAATCGCCTCTAAAAATACTAAATATGATTCTAAAAGAGCCAAGCCAAATAACACCGCAAGTGTAGGGTGGCTTCCACATTTGCAGCCTTCCCAGTTTGAATGCTAAAATGAAAACCTGGGGCTGCGTGGAATGTCGGCCTGGACACCAAGGGTGAGGGAGAGTCTGCAGGCTGCTTGGCTGCCTTTCACAGCATTCCAGAGCCCATGGGGGTGTGAGGGGCCACAGCCCACGCCTTCTAGCAGCCTGGAGAGCTTAGGGAGCAACCCTGCCTGCCCCTAGACCTGCTGCCAGGGATTCCTGATGGTTCCGAGTGTTTCCGTGGGCTGTGTAGATGCCTCCACCCCGGTGATGCGCCTGACCCCTTCCAGCTTCGCTTTTGGGAGTGAACGGAGGGGACCCTCCTCAGCATTGCAGTGACCTGCACAGACTGATTCGCTCTCCTTAGCAGGCCCAGTGACCACGTGGTAGGGTGACTTAGAACTCGCAGGAAACCCAGTGAGATACCATTAGACCCTACCAGATTCGTGAAACTTCGCAAGCTTGAGGATGCCAAGCGTGGTGAGGCTGAGGCTCGACTGGACCTCTTCCACTCAGTGCTGGAGGCCCGGGCGCCGCGGCGAGGGGGAGACGGATGCTCTGGACCACGGCCCTGGCCCGGGCCCTGTGCGCGTGTCCCCGGCTGTCCTGCTCAATGGAGCCCCGGACTAGCCAAAGGCTCATGGCCGCCGGGTGAACGAGTAAACTCATGTCTCTGCATCAGGCAGCGGGACACGCGACACGGGTGAATCTCCGTTGCGCAGGAACGCGCGCTCAGTGATTCCGTTTACAGGAAGGTTAGAAGCGTGCGGGCGGCCCGCGCTGCTGCTGAGGAACGCGAACACCGGCGGCCGGGCTCCGAGGCAGGTGCGCGAGGCCGGAGGTTGGCTTTGTAATTCTTCTGGAAGGTGGGTTGTGGCTTGTTCAGTCTCGATATGTTTGTGTCCCATGTGCGTAAACAAAAGGAAATGGAAAATGGCTCTCTAAAAGGGGGCTGCGGGTCACAGTGAGTGGCCCTCGCCCTCGCGGATGGCGTGGCTCTGGCGGGTCCCCTGCGCTCTCTGCAGACGCAGGGCGGTGTCTAAGCCAGCATGTGGACCCGAGGCACCTGGGTGTCGCCTGCCACAGCCGGTTGCGGGGCACCGCGAAGGTTGCGAACCCCTTTTCTCTCTTCTTGGGGGACCCATAGGGCTGCCTTGGAGGCCCAGGAGCCTCGAGACCAGGCCCAGGCGCCCCAGGCCCACAGCAGGTCAGAGGGCGCCTTCCCGCAGGCCGCTGTGCCCGGGTCACCGCAGAGCCCTGCTGCCCAGCAAGCCGGCAGGTCCGAGAAGGCCCTCGCGGCAAAGACAGGCTCTGCCCGCAACCCCGGGGAGGGAGACGCCCGGTAGGCCGCTGGCCGGGGCCCGTGGCTGGGGCCGGGTGTGGGCGTAGGGAGGGGCCCCGGGGTAGGGAAACGGGGTTCAACTGAGGACAGGTGGGGCCGCCCAGGACATGATGGGAGGGCGCGGCTGCCTTGCTCAAGATCAGCGGCCCTCGCAGGCCGCAGCCCCGGCCTGGCTGCAGCGGCCGCTGCCTCTGTCCCACAGCGCTGTGGTGAAAGACAGCACTCAGATGAGACCTGGGGCGACAGATTCCGTGGGATCGCTGCCCGTCTGAGCCGTGAAGGCATGGGGGGAAAGGTGGCGGCTTCTCTCCGTCCGCCCTCCTGACAGTGGAGATGCCCAAGGGGGAGGCATCCTCGACAGAGGGAACCGCAGTGCAGCGCCAGCAGCTGCAGATCGTTATCTGGGCTTCCATCCCAAAAGCCATCTGCCTCCATCCCAAAGCCACGTGCGGCCAAGGAACACAGGTGGCTCATCAGACATCTAACCTCAACACATAACAACTTGCCTCTTGCTTTGCGATTAACACTGCGGAAGATTCTAGGGCCTCACCTTGGCAAACAAACCCATGGTTCTAAGCTGCATTTCATCAAATAATATCACTTTTTACAAACTCATTAAAAGCTGAACAAGGCCGGACTTGCAGGCAGGTGAGGCCTGGAGAGCACCTTCGCGAGGCTTTTGATGGCTCAAAATCTTACTCCCCCAGAGTCCTAGGCAGCAATCAGAAAATCCTTCCTGCCCTTTTCCTGCTATGCCCCTCCTCACGCTCCCCTTGCCCTCAGCCTCTCCTGCTCCCTGCAGCTGCAGGCGGTGTGTAGGTTGTGAGGTGAGATGAGCAGGCAGGGGAGGTCAAGAAGAATTGATTTCAAACCCTAGCGGATTGCAGGGATGGAAAAGATGAATTGGTGTTTGACCATTTCACAAAAAAACTCTTTTTAGACACACACACACGCACACACACACGTGTGTGTGTGCGTGTGTGTGTGCATACATGTTTATATATACATTGCTTGAGACAGTCTCACTCTGATGCCCAGGCTGGAGTGAAGTGGTGAGATCTCAGCTCACTGCAACCTCTACCTCCCGGGTTCAAGCACTTCTCGTGCCTCTGTCTCCTGAGTAGCTGGGACTACAGGCATACACCACCATGCCCAGCTAATTTTTTGTATTTTTAGTAGCAATGGAGTTTCACCACGTTGGCCAGACTGGTCCAAAACCCCTGACCTCAGGTGATCTGCCCACATCGACCTCTGAAAGTGCTGGGATTACAGGCATGAGTCACCATGCTGAGCCTTTTATAACATATAATAACATTATAATTTTGTCATGCAAAATTCAGTCAAAATACTATCACAGGTTGGGCATCCCTAATCTGAAAATCCAGAACTCCCCCAAATCCAAAACTTTTTGCATACTGACATTAGATAGTGATACCTTTGCTTTTCTGATGTTTTTGTGTAAAAAAGCTGTTTCGTGCACAAAATTATCAAAAATACTGTGTAAAATTACCTTCATGCTAGGTGTACATGAAACATTAATGTCGTACAAAAGCTGTTTCGTGCACAAAATTATCAAGAATACTGTGTAAAATTACCTTCATGCTAGGTGTACATGAAACATAAATATCTAGACTCGGGTCCCATCCCCAAAATATCTCATTATACATATGCTAATATCCCCAAATCTGAAAAATATCAGCCATCCATAACACTTCTGTTCATACACATTTTAGATAAAGGAGTACTTACCTGGTATAGTGCTTTGGAGAAGAGTTTGGGCTTCTGCTCTAAAGAAGTTAGGATGGGGCCGGGCACGGTGGCTCAAGCCTGTAATCCCAGCACTTTGGGAGGCTGAGGCGGGTGGATCACGAGGTCGAGAGATCGAGACCATCCTGGTCAACATGGTGAAACCCCGTCTCTACTAAAAATACAAAAAATTAGCTGGGCATGGTGGCGCGTGCCTGTAATCCCAGCTACTCAGGAGGCTGAGGCAGGAGAATTGCCTGAACCCAGGAGGCAGAGGTTGCGGTGAGCCGAGATAGCGCCATTGCACTCTAGCCTGGGTAACAAGAGCGAAACTCCGTCTCAAAAAAAAAAAAAAAAAAAAAAAAAAAAAGAAGAAGTTAGGACGGAAGTGGTGGTCATGAAATTGTCTTTCCACAGAACTCATCTACGTGCCACCCGTTTTCTCCATGTAGGAAGGAATCGTGTCTCCTAGCGACCTGGACCTCGTCATGTCAGAAGGGCTGGGCATGCGGTACGCGTTCATTGGACCCCTGGAAACCATGCATCTCAACGCGGAAGGTATGCGTCTGCGGCCAGGATGGGAATTCCATTCTATTTAGTGTTGTCATGGGTTTTGTAAACAGTCACATGAGTTGCCTTTTCTTACAACTGAGTAGAGAGAGGAGGACGTATAGGAGATGACGGCCAGCCCTGGTGATTCACAGACATGGCAGGGATGCGGAGCGCTGTGTACTGAGATGTAAATCCACGCGGAGTCCGTGCACCTCAGGGCTCTGTGTGGTGCACTGGGCTCAGGTGAGAGCTCAGAGGGAGAGAGGCGTGTGATGCCACGGAGACTTCACTGCGTGTCACCCAGCCTGGCAGAAGGGAAAGTGGTAGTTTCCTAAGGAAGGTGATGAAATTATTTACAGAGGCAAGAAGAAAATACAGGGGGCTGTCTTAACCCACAGGGAACTCTGCTGGATGTATCTTCTGCCCAAATATGAGCAAGGTTTTCTTCTAGAAGGCTAGGGAGCCTACGGTGAGGGATTCCAGAGGCTGGGAGCTGGGGGGGGGCCTCAGGGCGGGACAGACCAGACCTCTAGAAGGCTTGTGCAGAAGTAGGTCTGAGCTCAGGATCTGTGATCGGGTAACTCCAAAAGAAAGATGACGTGAGAAGGATGAGAAGCTTCCAAGAATGAAACTCTGTCAACCAGATTTCAATTGATCCAAAAAGAAGATGTCATTTGATAACCAATAAAATCTATAGCAAATTAAAACAAAGTAAATTTTAGAAACTATGTATAAAATCTGGAAAGAGATGTAACCCAGATGTTATCATTGCCAGCTATCTCTTGGTGCTGAGATTATAAGTAACTTTTAGTATCTTTTTGCTTGTCAGTGTTGTTACGAATTTCTACAATTACTATAGTAATAATATTACTAACGTGGAAAAGTGTAGAAAGAGAAAAGAAATATTGTATGCATCTCCATGGTCTGCATTTAACAAAGGATACTGAGAAGCTGGGTCTTATCTAGAAAAAGGCGACCAGAGTCTCTTGTATGTGTCTCGGTCTGTATTTTTGGGGGGCCCGGAAGTGGAGTGAAAGACTGGAAATGGCAGGCAGGCAGACAGGTTTGGGCTCAGTACATGGCAGGAAGAACTCTCTAGTAATGAGAGCTGATGTCCAGGAAAGGCCCGTGCTTTAAGTAGGTGAGCTGAGCAGGGGACCTGGTTGCCCGCCTGTGGGAGGTTTAGATGTTGAGAGGATACTCCCGCTGTGACGGGGGAGGTCAAGAGTTACTGACCTCTCTCAGTCTGCTTGACTTCAGTTCTATAATGTCAGTATTACATTTTGGTAATCGTTCAGTCAGTTTTCACACTAGTTGTTGAAATATGCTGTCCGATGAATAATTCAAGGCAGCTTCACTAGACACGTTCCTGCACACAGCAGATGCACAGATGATTTTTGAAGTGGATGGGCCGTGTGTTCCCTGCTTCAGTCCTCATCAGAATCAAGCTGAGAGAGGCTGAAGGGAAGAGGGGAATCTCCTGTGGCACTCGTGTGTTAGTTTTGTGGGAAGATTACCACGGAACAGAGGAAGGTAACATAGAAAAAGATGGCCTCATGCAATGAAACAAGCGTTTTGTGGTATCATTAACATAAAGCCTTAGATCATTTCAAATGGTTTTTTTCACCCAGAACCTCAAAACTTGTGAGCGTATTTAAGCATCTGAAAGGTATTTAGACACTGCCTGATAGCCACTGTGGTTTTTTTTTTCTTTTTTCTTTTTCTTGAGAAAAATAAGATAATTGAGGTATCATAAGAAATCGATAGGGACAGAACTGAGAACAGCTTTGACTTTCAAACAAATAGAAGCCACTGAAACCAGAAACTCAAGGATCTAGCAGCGTGGCAGACAGGAAGGAGGCCCATAACAATTTTTCAGACAAAGCAGATATGATAAGAAACCCTAATTGGCTTTTTATGATAATGGTGGACGGATGTAGTTTTCAACTTCAGAGCATTCCAAAGACCAGAGTTGGAGAGTTATAAGATCTGGCTGGGAACCCATGGAAATGTTCATCATTCTTCACCCTGTCACCCCGAACATATCAAGATTGGAGTTGGGAGCGTTTTTCTTCTTTTCTGATACTGTTTTCATAAAGCCAGCATCTCAGGTTAAGGGTAGTTATTAGCCTGAAAAGCTACAGTTATCTAGAATGAGTGCAAATATTTTAGGATTTATTCCTAATCTAATGAAATAGTTCCTGAGAAATAGGAGGCCACCGCGCCATTGTCTTTTGGCTCCTTTTACAAACAACACCCCTGACAGATGTGCCCTCAGAATGGTGGTTCTGGCCTGTGGAGCTAGCGGGCCACCTTCTTACTCTATTGGCAGTATAACCTTAGCCACGTGACTTAGGTTCAGTGTATCTCAGTGTCCGCATCTGTGAAATGGGGACAGCAGAAACTGCCTCCTCAGGGTGGTGTGAGAATTGAACCAGATGGAAACTCTTAGCTGGATTGCTACAAAATTCTGTTTGACTATGACATTTATGAAGGACTATTTATCCTAAATAAATAAAGTCCATTTATTAAGGACTTAATAGTCCTTAATACATGTTGTATTCAAACAGAATTTTGTCTTGTTTGTTTAAGTTACTACTTTTCTAGTTTTTTTTGTTTTGTTTTGTTTTATTTTTAGTTTTAAAAAATTTTCCTAAAAGATTCACGAGTGCATGAGCGAGGAATAAATACAGATTAGGATTCTTTTCTGTGGCGTGGAGAAGCCTCGGAGCCAGGTACCTGGAGTTTCCCGCTGGGTGTGTTTCTTTGCTGAGCTTTAGACTTGCAGGTCAGTAGAGAGAAGAACCGCTTTGTCCTGTCCTGGGGTTCTTTGGGCTCCTCCTGTGTTTTGTTCCACTTGAAATAAGGATATCTCAGAATCTGGCAGGGTGGAAATTGCCTCCAGGGGAAGTGGATGTTTATGTACCATTTTGCCTCACAGATATCCCCTCCTGTGTAGACACCTGCCTTTTTTAAAATTGAGATGCCTACCTGGTGGGTGGCAGGTTTGGTTCATTGATGGGAAGCGATTATTTGCCCGTGGAAGCAGGCGAGCTGATGGGCGGGGACTTGGCGAGGTGAAGTGAGGGGCCCAGGTCAGTTCTGCCTCCCCTACCCTGGGCAAGTCCTCGCTCAGGTGGGAATTTGATCCTGAGAGGGGGAATGAGATAATGTTGCTCTGTGCTTTGAGGCATTTTTGATCTTCCTTAATGAGTTCCGTGAAACCCTGTCTCTAAAAAGCAGGTGAATTCACATAGGTATGGGCTCATAGCTGTGTGAAAGAAAACCCCATGTCTCGGGTATGGGTGGCAATGAGGGCTCTCCTAGGAGCTGACTCCCAGAATCCCTCCCAGTGGCTGTGGCCTCGGGCTGGGGTCAAGGCCTCCTCTGGTGCCTGCTCCATCCATGGGAACAGAAAGGATTCCTGCCTGTGCACCTGGGGCACTCAAACCCACTATCCCTCAGAGGCCCACAGCCCCAGGCCCCCAAGTTAGAAAGCAACAAGTTAAGCTACATCCAATCTCATGAGAATCAATTCTTTTTTCTACTTTGTCTTCTTTTTCTGCATAAGCATCTCTTAAGAACCCTAATTGGTTAAGAAATTCAGTTCAGAATCTTTTAAAAAGCCAAACTCTACAAGAGTTTTTGGAAGAATTAGAACTCAGAAGGACAGAGGGCATAGAAGCATAGAAGAAAAACCACAGAGGAGGCTGGATTAGATAGAAGTAGTGGGGGAGGGCAGACCAGGGGCATAAAAAGTGAAGTGGGCTTTGTTATGTTCTTCCTATTTCCAAAGAAATTGGTATTTTAGAGTAATTTCCACCGAATTCCCCTCTCACGGTGTACAGAAGCAAAATGATTGTTGAAAATAAATTACACCTCTCTAAATTGGAAGGGGAGGAGTCGCAAATAACAGTCACAGTCATAAGTTTACTGGGACATGGTCGTAAATAATCAGGCAGATGCAGGTGGTGAGTCTCAGTCACCGTGAACTCCTGCCCTCCGAGCACCTGGAGGCCCCACCTGCCTCCTGGTGAGCACGTGGCACAGGCACCTGAACTTCGTCACAGACAGCGGAGCTCTTCATCCCACGAGCGTCTTACAAAAAGTTTCTTTAATCAGTAAAATGGACACTTTAAAGGGTTTCCTGAATAAAAATGGGGAAAACGATGAATTGCACTATCATAAATTCCAGCATATTTTATTCTATTTTGAGGAAATAAACGTCCCTTTCAAACTTCACAAAAACAGTAAAAAAAAGAAAGTTCTAGAAAGCCCCTAGGAGATTCAAGTGGTTTCACAGAACAGGGGGAGATGAACAGTTGCTCAGACAACGTGACGTGTTCCAGGGAGCAGGTGCTGTGTGAACGGAACCCGTGGCCTGTGGCTGCTGTGGTGGGGAGGGAGAAGGAACTGGCTGCTGAGGGGTGTCGGGAGGGCGTCTGCCTGCCTGCAGGTGGGCACACGTGGGCACAGCAGCTCTTTCCATTTTCTTCTCGTGTGATATATTTCCAACTTGATTCTTGTATCTCTGCCCCCACCCCAAAAGGAAGGAATAAACTGTATTTCTGTCTAGATGTTTGCCTCCCTTCATTGTAATAAATAAGCAACTAGCAAAAGCGAAGCAAATAATTTCCCAAATGAAATAAATGTACAGGTTGTTTTCTGTTCTCCAGAAATGCTAAGCGGTCTACAGCACCTAGCCAGTGCTGGACAGCTCGGGAGCCTCCCGGAATTCTGCACTGCCAAATTACCACTTGAGTGAAATGAGAGGAAGCCCCTTCTTCTCTAAAGAGAGTACCCACCAGTTAATTGTAGGTGCTAATGTCAGAGAAGTTGGTACGTTTGAACTTTTTACCATCAAAACCATTTTTGGGGCGATTTTAACACACCGAGAGAGAACTATTTGAAGCAAATAAATTGCCACCCAGTGAATTTGGGTCCTCACATCGGCATAGGTCAGTCAAAACTAAACCTCAAAGATGAAGTTTGAGTTTTTTTGTTTTTTGTTTTTTGTTTTTTTGCTTTTTAGTGTATCTAACACTGATGGTTCATATTGTAAGTTAATCACCCAGTTTTTGTGGGTAGAGGGGAGCTGAGCTGGGGCAGGCTCTGCACTTTTTGCGGCTTCCTTTGTCCCGGCGTCACCTTTGTAGGCAGACTGACCAGCTACTGAGCCTTTAAGGGCTTGCAAGATGTGGGCCCAGCGTGTGTCCGCCACAGTTCCCAGGACAAGAAACGCCTCCTCCTCTTCCAGGATTCCGAGCCTGGCTTCTGACTTGACTTGCTAAGCACAGGCCGGCACCCGCCCGGGTCTCCTGGCAGCAGGGAGGGGAGGAACGCGAGGGAGAGTGAGTCTGCGGGTCGGGGCAGGCTGAGGCCGGGTGCCCGGCGTGGCTGGCCCGCGCTTGTCCCTGGGCGCGCCCCATTGTCACGCAGTCAGCCTAGCCCGGGCCGCTCCCGCCCTCTCCCTCCAGAATAAACCTCTTCCTGCGTCTCTTCACCCAAGTCCCAGGGCTCTCTCCTTAGAATCTGAGAAATCATGGCTCCCCGAGGCTGGGGAGCAGCGGGGAGCGTGCATGGGGGCTGGTGCAGCTGAGCGCCGGGCTCCGTCCACCCCAACCAGCAAGCCGCAAGCCAGCGTGAGCTCTGCCACCGGGGTTCAAGTACCTGCAGCCTCGGCCGTACCCAATACGGGGCTGAGATCTGGGGCCTAACAGTGAAATAAGTGACGGGTTTACTTGAACTCTAACATCTTTAATTCTTGGAAAATGCATTGAACCCTTGTACACAAATAACTTCATAGATCCATGGTTGGAGGAGACACTTTTGTTGACATTAAGACTTACTGTAGGGCCGGGTGCGGTGGCTCACGCCTGTAGTCCCAGCACTTTGGGAGGCCGAGGCGGGTGGATCACCAGGTCAAGAGATCGAGACCATCCTGGTCAACATGGTGAAACCCCGTCTCTACTAAAAATACAAAAAATCAGCTGGGCATGGTGGCGCGTGCCTGTAATCCCAGCTACTCAGGAGGCTGAGGCAGGAGAATTGCCTGAACCCAGGAGGCGGAGGTAGCGGTGAGCCGAGATCGCGCCATTGCACTCCAGCCTGGGTAACAAGAGCGAAACTCCGTCTCAAGAAAAAAAAAAAAAAAAAAAAAAAAAAAAAGACTTAACTGTAGTAGCCAACAAATCTGTGTGTCCACGCAGGCCAACTGGAGTGTCTGTGACATGTCAGGCCTGAGGGGCCCAGCACTTTTTTTTTTTTTTTTTTTTTTTTTTTTGAGATGGAGTTTTACTCCATCCCAGGCTGGAGTGCAGTGGCAAGATCTTGGCTCACTGCAACCTCTGCCTCCTGGGTTCAAGTGATTCTCCTGCCTCAGCCTCCGGAGTAGCTGAGATTACAGGTGCCCGCCAACATACCTGGCTGATTTTTATGTATTTTTGGTAGAGACAGGGTTTCACTATGTTGGCTTGGCTGGTTCCGAACTCCCAAACTCAGGTGATCTACCCACCTCAGACTCCCAAAGTGCTGGGATTACAGGTGTGAGCCACCACGCCAGCCCGGCCAGGCCCGGCACTTTTTGACATTCGAACACCCAGGAGCCAGCAGACCCACGGACATTCCTCAGCTCTGTTTTGTCTTCACAGGAAGGAAAGAGCGTAGCTTATCTGACCCCAGGGTGAAACTCTCTGAACGCATTTCTGAGTTTCAGTACAATTAAGAATGTTTTTTTTCTGATATTGTGGATTCTTGTCTTCATGCAATTCCAGGTATGTTAAGCTACTGCGACAGATACAGTGAGGGCATGAAACGCGTCCTAAAGACGTTTGGACCCATTCCAGAGTTTTCCAGGGCCACGGCTGAGAAGGTTAACCAGGTATGTAGACTCACCATGTAGAAGCGTGCGAGCCCCCTGAAGCACTTACTGCGCTCACCTCTGCAGCCGGTGGGCCTGCATCTGTAGCTGGAATTTTTTTATTTTTTATTTTTTATTTTTGAGATAGAGTCTCATTTTGTTGCCAGAATGGAGTGCAGTGGCATGATCTTGGCTCACTACAGCCTCCACCTCCCAGGTTCAAGCGATTTTCCTGCCTCAGCCTCCCAAGTAGGTGAGACTACAGGCGTGCACCACCATGCCTGGCTAATTTTTATATTTTTAGTAGAGACAGGGTTTTGCCATGTTGGCCAGGATGGTCTCGATCTCTTAACCTCGTGGTCCACCTGCCTCGGCCTCTCAAAGTGCTGGGATTAAAGGCTTGAGCCACCGTGCCTGACCTGTAGCTGAAATTTGGCTCCCAATCTTGGTGGTTCCTCATTCCTGACTTTGCTCCTGCTTCCCTCGTGTCACCGGGACACCTTGAGGGCAGGATGACCACTGAACTGGTAGCTCATTGTGACTTGTCTCTGGGGGACTGAGGTTTTTCAAGATTTGGAAAGCTGCTGTTCATTGAGGGTTTGCTGCTTTTGTCTTTGAAAGCAGTCTCTATGTAATTTACAAGAGCAATAGTTACACTTCCAGTAAATTATTTCCTCTTTATCGTTCTTTGTTTTTCTTCTCCTTCTCACAGGGAATGTGCTTGAAGGTCCCTGACGACCCAGAGCACTTAGCTGCCAGGAGGCAGTGGAGGGACGGCTGCCTCATGAGACTCGCCAAGTTGAAGAGTCAGGTGCAGCCCCAGTGAATTTCTTGTCATGCAGCTGCCACTGCTGTCATTGGAGGCCCTATTTGGGGACACTGGAAGCTCTTAGTCAGCCCACGGTGACACAGGGAGCAGCCCACGGGGATTCTGAGCTGGCTCTCTTGCATGCAGCCGGGTGTGGTGGTCCAGGCCAGTAGTCTGCCTGTCACTTTGGATCATAGCCCTGGGCCTGGGGCACAGTAGCACTTGGGTTCTCGGGCTGTGGATTTCCCGCCACCTGGGCAGATAACTTGGAGATTTTCACCTTTCCTTTTCAGTGTGATTACATATGACTATATTTTACCACCAGTGATTAGAGTTTCATGTTAATACTGGACAAAATATTTTTGTAATTATTTTCTAATGACTACTCTGTGGCCCTGCATTTATGAGGCGCCTGCTTTCATTTTGCTAATGCCCATTCTGAATAAAAGTTTTTGATGCCTTAACGACGTCTTTTTTTCTTCTGACTTTTTCTGAGAAACACAGCATTTGATCCTGGTGACCCGCATATTTTAGGGTGACCCTGACGAATAAGTCATAAGCAGATACTTTGTTTCAGGCCCTTCATCCATCACTCAGCGTAAATCCAGCAATGTGGGCACTTTCCAGGGTAGGGTCCACAGTACCCTGAGACTCTATGTCAGATGACGTTTGGGAAACACCATTGACCACCCCCCAGCCCTTGGACACCCAATGTCTGTAGCAAATTAAAGGCACCAAAGTTCTACGCTAACGTACCTGTTTGATCTAACATTCCGTTATTGCCTTTGATGTGGTATTTTCCAAGATCTAATTCCAGAACACTCCAGGAGTACCAGTACACGCTCCGCCACCCCCGAGGCCAGGCACACCACAGTGACTCTGGTGGCCAGATGCCACCACTGGGCTCCCCCGACAGCTCCCAGCCTTGCAGCGTCTGGTGCTCAGCTCCACCCAGCAGGGAGATGCCTTTCTTGGGGCCAGGGCTGTGGAGGTGTTGGGAGCAGTGCCCCTTGTCAGGAGCTTTGTGGAGGTGGTCATCTTGGCTAAGCCGTGCACACAGACGCCTGCATCACACTTGTTTATTCTCACAGCATGCGCTGAGCGGCTGTGATGTGCCAGGCCTCCCACTGGTGGCCCCTGCCCTTCAGACGGTGACCATAAGATAACACAAATTGAGAATAAAACAGGACGGGTGCTCCAGAGGAATCCCGCACAGGTGAGCCTGGCCAGCTGCCTCCCTTGTGTGCCCTGGAAGGTCTCAAGGAGCTGGCCAACGAGGGGGCTCGGGGAACAGGTGGAGTTAGCCCTTCCGGGGAAAGGGAGAGTGTGGGGAAGGGCTAGAGTGTTCTGGAAATGAGGAGCTGCCCACTCTGACCAGAAAGGAGCCCTGGAGGGGTGCTGAGTAGAGGCAGGTGGGGAGGAGCCCAGGGGCTGTGCCAGTGGCTGGGCCTTCACCTAGTGCCAAGTGTTCTGCAGGCGGGGAGTGGCCCAGTCAGGTCAGGCTCTCAGACAGCTCATCCCACAGCAGAAGGGGCAGCCTGGAGGCAGAGGGTGTTGGGGTCCAGGTGAGGGTGGATCGGGCAGTGAACGCAGACAGTACTCTGGGTGGAACCCATGGTCCCCGCAGGATCCGAGAGAAGGTGGCTGCAGGGCCAGGTGAGGAGGCTGGAGCTGATGTCACACACCAGATAAGGAGACTAGCGGCAAGGCAGGAAATGCCAGTGCCCCCGATATGCCGACTTCACTGAAAAGCAACGTGGCCAGGCGTGAAGGAGGTTTCAGCAGGAAAGGGATCCTCCTCTTCACCTCATTAAGTTTCAGAAATTCCTTAAGTGGTGATTAAACTCTCACCCCTCACACCCTGTGACCTACTGACAGGGCTCCTTCCGCCAGGTCTGCGCTCCTCCCTGAAGCCTCCGGCTTTGGCCGCTTTCCTTGGGCACGCTCCCGGGTCTTGGCCCTGTCACTGGGCTGTCCCCTGTGCCTGCAGGACTCCCCTGATGAGCCCATCCACAGTTCCCATGCCCAGGTGTGGGTTTGCCGAAATGAGGATGACCTACCTGGGGGGGTGGGGTGCAGGCGGCCGCACCCATGGCCTGCTGGGCTCACGGCATCCCTGAGCCACGCATTCCACGAGGAGCGGCCACGGCAGCCCTGGGTGGCACCGGCGCCAGCGTGAGGGCGGGCCTGTGCATGGCTCTGGGGCACCTCCACTCATAGAAGTTTTATGTTCCCACTTCTGCTGTCAGGTTTTTTGTGTGGATATCAGGCATGTTCTGGCAGAAGGAAGCAGAAGCGTTCATGACTTTGCACGATGTGTAAGGAGGAGTGATCGGCTGTGGGGGCGCCCAGAGAGTCTCACCTAAAAGCGGAAAAAGTCAGGCTTCTCAGGCTCAAGAACAGCAGCGAGCTCATTTGTGGTTCTGGGCCCAGCTTCAGAAAGACGGTTACGGAAACAGCGGGATAGAGCCAGGAGCTGGTCCAACACGGAGCTGATGGGAGAGTGGGGAGGATACGAGCGCCTAACCTCACACAAAACCCAGGCGACAGGCCCTTTGGAGATAAGTGGGAAGGCTTCAAAGCAAGCAGCTGGCTTGTGGGGGCCTTTCTGCTTTGCAGTGTGCCGTCCCTGGGCTCTGGCTACCAAAGCGCTTGGTTGCTTTAGGAGTTTAGCGGCTGTATAATTTCATGTGCCAGTTTTCCCATAAGTACCCTCTTTCTGTCCCAGGATCCCATCCAGGAGCTCACAGTGCATTTCCTTGTCCCGTCTCCCGGTCTCCTCTGGTCTGTGCCCATTTCTCAGCCTTGCTTTGCTTTTTAGAATCTTGACAGTCTGAAGGAGCCCCTGCCAGGGATCCTGTAGAATATTTCTAATCTGGGTAGATCTGATGTTTTCCCCCATGATGAGACTTGAATTTAGATCTTGGAAAGAAGACCCCAGGGGTGACACGCTTTCCTTGTCACGTCATATGGATGGTGGACAATGGCCGTGTGACACAACTGGGATGTTGGCATTCCTCCCATAGCTCGCTGGGTTCAGCCACTCTGAGTTACTACTAAAAAATAGGAAGTTAGTCAGAAGGACCAGCCCAATCAGACATTGTCCGGACTGGTTTCTGAGTCATTTTTTCGGAACTGCAAAACTATAATCTCCATCCACATTAATGAATGCTCAGTGTGGCATAGTGCACACACAGTTCCCTCCTGCTCGTCTTGAGGTCCAGATGTCTTCTCTTCCCGAGCAGCAGCATGGATTCATGTGCATGGCATTCATATGACGGTCCTGTGCTGCCTGCTCAGCTCGAGAGGCTGGCGGTGGGGTCCCCACAATTCATATCTGGTTCCTACTTGGTTTGCATAAACGATCCTGCTAGTGCATGAATCAGAAGGGAGTTTTTCTCATGCTCATCCAACTAGCAAGATCAACTGAAAAACCAGAATGCCAGTTGTATGAACTTTGAAGGATTCATCTAACATACATTTATTGAGCGTCGACTGTGTGCCAGGCTCTGGCACTGAGGATACAGCAGTGAATGAAATTGGCCAAAAAAATACTTGCCCTCGTGGAGCTTATATGGTGGCTCTGGTGGGAGAGAAAAAAGACAAGGCTACGCCTGTCAATAGGCAAAGTACAGAATATATCAGAAGGCGGTTTATTATGTGGATAGGAAATGGAGCAGGAGAGAGTGATAGGGAGTACGGGTGGGGTGTGTGTGCGTGTGTGCATGCAATTTTAAAGATGGTAACAGTTGTGCAGAGACCCACGGGAAGTGAGTGATGAGACCATGGGGAGCTCTAGGAAAAGAGTGCCGCAGGGGGACAAAACACAAAGGCAGAGGCCCCGAGGCCGGGGTGAAGGGGTGCGTCCCAGGGGCAGTTGGGCGGTCCATATGGCCGAGTGACAGGAGGGAGCGATGGAGGAGGTGGGAGGGGGGACAGACAGATGATGGAGGCGGCGGCCGGGGACAGATCAAGAGCGGGAGGGTGGGCCCTGAAGGCCGACAGGAGGGCCAGCTCGTCGGCTGGAGGGGCGGTGCCATCCCCCTGTTTCTCAAAGCCCTTTCTGGCTTGGGTGGAAAGGGACTGTCCGGACCGTGGTGGAAGTAGGGAGGCCAGGCTTTCCTGCCACTGTCTTGGTCAGGGACAGCAGCAGAGGTCTAGAGGAGGCTGTGGCACGGAGAAGGGGAGCAGCGGCCAGATTCTGGCGCCGTCTTGGAGGTAAAGTGAACGAGATGAGCAGACAGCATGAGTAGGATGAGAGAAAAGCAAACATCGAGGACAACTCTCCTGTGGCCCCAGGGGGACTTCCCATCTCCTGGGATGGAGAAGATGGGTGGCCAGGAGAGTGGGACCCACCCTTGACCAGGACGTTGCCTGGTGGCCTGCTGTCTGAGCGGGGCGTGGTGGGCGCTGCTGAGCCATGATGGCCTTGGGGAAGGAGCGCGTGGCTCCGTGGGAAAAAGCTTGGCCCTGGAGAGGACACAAGATCAGTGCCTGGGCACCCTCCACACTCTGTTGTCACTCTTCTGTCTTCAGAGAGGTGAATAGCGCTGATTCTGCCATAGTTCCCTTATTCAGTAAATGTGTTCAGAGCAAGGACTGTGTGCTCAGGCACTGTGCAGGCATCTGAGGCTACAGAATTGTGTTGACCGTGCCAAGTTCACAGTCTGCTGGGGAAGATGCGTACACGAAGAGAAGAGCATAATTTAAAGCTGCGAGTGCAATGAGAGAGCTATGCACAGAGTGTCCTAGGAGCACCCAGGAAAGGCCCTGGGCTGAGCCTGGTGGTTGACAAGGGGTGTCAGCGAGTGTTTCCTAAAGCAGGTAATGTCCCAGTTATCAATCAAAAAAGTGAGACAAAAAGCCTAGTAGAGGTGAATTCCTACAACCTAGAAGAGCTTCAGGTCCATAGAAGGTGCTAAAGAAATAATTGTCAAGGCTGGGCATGGTGGCTCATGCCTGTAATCCCAACACTTTGGGAGGCTAAGGCGGGCAGATCACCTGAGGTCAGGAGTTCAAGACCAGCCTGACCAACATGGAGAAACCCCGTATCTACTAAAAGTACAAAATTAGCTGAGCGTAGTAGCACGTGCCTGTAATTCCAGCTACTCAGGAGGATGAGGTAGGAGAATAGCTTGAACTCAGGAGGCGGAGGTTGCAGTGAGCTGAGATCGTGCCACTGCACTCCAGCCTGGACGACAAGAACAAAACTCTGTCTCAAAAAAAAAAAAAAAAAAAAGAGAAAGAAATAATTGTTGAAAGGAAGAATGAAAGAGCATTGGAGAAAGGAGATGCAGACGGCAGAAAAGCCACTGTGTACAGGATGGCCTGGACCTCCAGCCCTGGCCCCTTAGAGGAGATGATCTTTGTGTGCCCAGACGACATCCTCCCTGGCAGGGCTTGTGCGGCTGGCTCACCTTCATCCTGTGCTCATTTCATTTCATGTCATCTCGGTTTACCTTCA